CCGACAAGAGCCGTTGCCACCTGTGCTGCTCTTGTGCTGTCTCTTATACACATCTAGATGTGTATAAGAGACAGGCCCTCTCCCATGACCCCCAATAACCCCACCCGTCGGACATTAATGAACTCCCAGGCTCCTAGAACCCCAAAACGACCCCAACAAGTGGCACGACCCAACCCCTAACCTTTGAAAAACTCCAACCACCCTTGCTACCCCCCCTCAACTGCATCACCCCACACCACGTGTCCACACAGACCGCTGAGAACACACAACGTCACCCTCTTCCCCCTACCCCCCCTCAACTAACGACACAGCCCCTGTTGTGCCAAACAACACAACCCCCCCTTACGGCTGAGTACCCCCCAAATTGCCCCAATGTCCTTGCATACCCATTCTTTGTCAAACATAGGCATATGTGAAATTTCACTTGCAAGTGCAACATGTCATTGTCAGAAAGATATACCATCAACAAAGTATTGTGCAACACCAACATTTGTCCAACAATAAAAGTGAGTATATTAGTCTGTATAAATAAATTCAACAATTTTAAAACCAAAAACACCCAACTCCGCATGCAAAAAAAACGAAAAAAAAGCGAAAAAAAACAACATAAAATAAAGACAATGACAAAAATGGACATGAAAGGTCGTGAAGTACTCGTCAGTGAAATCACACATGAAAAATGTAATGGACATGAAAGGTCATGTAGTACCAGTCACTGATATCACACATGAAAAATGTAACATAATACAATGTATCCCTCCTACTAATGGCACTCGATGACAAAGATTTGAATAGGCCTCAACATGAAAGAAGAACGAGAAAGCTGAAGGTCGCTAGGAAAAAAAAAAAAACAGTACTCTACAAGTTGTGCAGACGGTGCCGAAATACTATACGGCGACTAACGGTGCCGTATTGACTTCCTATACCAAAGACTGAAAAAAAAGAAAAAAGAAGGAAACTGCAACTGCAGTACACACACTACCTAACAATACTAACATAAGATAGTCTGACCAAACAATTGGGAGCACATTCCAGGACGAAGTAGCGTGCAGGTAGAGGAAAGGGGAGTGCTGGCGTCATGGTCATCAACCCCTCTTCCCCTTCCTGCGCTGCCTCCCCGTACCCCCTCGAGTTTCGGATGTCGACCTCCCCCTCCGTCGTGCGGGTGAAGACGTCTGCGCAGCAGCGCGTCTCGTAGCATGCGTCGGTGGAGGAGGTGGGGGCTCATCATCGCCGTCGCCGTAGTCGTCGCTATTACCGCCCTCCCTCTCCTTCTCACTCGCCTCACCCTCATACTCCTCGTCCTCCTCCCACACTGGCAGCGCCGTCTCAGGATCGTCCTCCTCGATGGTGACAGGGCCGCTTCCCTTCCTCACCCGAACAACCCTCTTACTGGCCTGTGCAACCGTCTCCTGTCAACAGGATCCATAAGGCATACGCAAGCCCACTGCCCCCAAAAACTCTCCAAGTACAGCGCCTCCCTTTGCAGGCACGGGGCGTGGACGAGGCGCTCCACACTTGCCTGGAGTCTGCTCCTGCACAACACGTGTCGTTGCTCTCAAAGCTTGCTTCAAGCTCGAGGTGGACACTCCTCTGCCGCACCCAGCTGGGGTTCACAACCTGCCGCTGCAATCTCCCTCGCTGTGGTCGTTCCGGTGCCGCGGTCTCCCAAACCTGTCTGACGGCATGCAGTGTGCTCCGTGACCCGGCAGGCGCAATCCACGTCTATGTCCGTCCTCCCGAAAAATGTTGTGTCGTGCATAAGCGGCCCAACTGCTATCGTGTCACAAATCCTTGATCTCCCGGGCGTGGATGGGGATCGAGCGCTTGGCCGAAGGGTGACGACGATGGATCCCCCTCATGTGGTCTAGGAGGAGGGGGTGGCGTATCTCCTGTACTTGGCGCTCCTTGCAGGCCCCTCAAAACCCCTGGAACGTCTGCCCTGCTACCTCCTGTTGAGGTATACCTGGATCATACTGGCAGCACGGGGGCCCATGGAACTGAAGGGATGCTCTGCCATGGGGGATGAAGTGCGACGCTACTAAATATCCGCCGATCCAGCCGAGTCACATCGCACGAAGAGGCCGCCGCTAGCTCCTTTGCATCCAATGGATGATCTGCCTCCTGTGGAGCTGGGGTTAAGGAGCTGGAGGAGACACCACCGCCTCCGTCCCCGAATTCTCGATAATAACCGGTGGCACATCATGCACTGCCAGCTCTGGCAGCTGCGAACTTGGGGCTGTTGCCAAGTGCAGGCCCGATAACAAGATGACTGAACCCGTCTCTATCTCCTCAACTATGGGCGGTGCGTCGCCAGCCCCCCCATGTCGCCCCTGTCCGCCCTCCATAGCCTCCTCCACCGTCTGTGGCCCACCCTCCATAGCCTCCTCCACCTCTAGTGCCGTGGCCTCCATAGCCTCCTGCGTCTCTTGTGCCCCACCCTGCCCACCATCTCTTCTCCTCTCTCCATGCCTGCACTCATCCAAGGCTCATGCCAAATCCTGAGCATGTGGGTCGTTGCATGCCGTCCGTCGAACCCTCTCTTGCTCCATGATGTCGCGTGCCGCAATGGGAGACTTCGCCGTCGTCCTCTCTCAAGGACCGGGTCCCCATCTTTGATGGCGCCCGATCCGTGATGGTGCCCGATCCGTGGATGCCGCCCCGCCGCAACAAAGGGGAGCACCCATCGACATGTCATACTCGAAGTGGGTGCCCATCTCTGAACGCGGCCACCCTGTGGGTGGAGACATCCTGGACTCCCTCGGCACCCCTGGGGTGAGACCCTCCACGACCGGATCAATCCCCTCCGTGATAAACTGCTGCACGAGGCGGTCGAGGTGCTGCTCGTCGCCCTCTGTGGCATCCTCAGCATCGTGCTCCATGGCTACATCCTCCACCATTGCTCGTGCGGCTACCTCCTCCTTCCATTGCTGCTGCAGCTGGTGCCTCCTCGTTCACTGCTGCTGCTGCTGCGACCCTCTCCTCCACTGCTGCTGCTGCTGCTGCTGCCTCCTCCTTCTTCACGAACCGTGCTGTCTCCTCCACTCCTCCTGCTCCTATCTCCTCCGCTTGTCTTGCCCCCCCCTCGTCTTGCCCCCCCCCCCCTCGTCCTTCGTTGTGGCGTGGTGGCCCCTCTCCGCCTCCAAGGACCTCGAGGAAGGTGAGCGTAACCTCAGCTGGCGGACCACCGCAGATCTCTGCGCAAGTCCATGCTGAGGCAAGGAGGATGCCAACTCCTCCGTCTCTGCCGCTGCTGAGGGCGGCTCATGTGGCCAGATGGGGCAGAACTCGGAGTAGGAGGTGGTGGCATTGGTGAGTGTCGCCTCGCTGGAGTAGGAGTCGTCATCTGGGCCCCTGTGCACCCCATGCTTGAATGAGAGCCCCCGACTCTATCGTCACGTACATGTCCCGTGGAACCCGAAAGCGTCCCCAAAACCCTCGCTCTCCCCCCATCATCTCCCTCTTCGTGCGGTCCGCTGCCCGCCGTGTGGTGTGTGTCCTCGTCTCCGCGTCGTTGGCGTCCTTGTGCGTCTTGTCGATCTCGCAGGGAATGGGGAGCATGGGGTCATCTACTGCCTCGGGTGCCCGCTCGTCCCCCGAGTCATCGTCCCTGGGGTAGGGACAAAAGATGGTAGCACGTCTACCAAAGACAAAAGATGGTAGCACGTCTACCAAAAACGGCCTCAACAGGTTGTGCAGCAATCCCAATGGGATCGCACGTGATAAGTGCAACTTGTTCGGCGATCTCCCGCTCCGTCATCCCTCTTCACGTGTCTGTGCGCACCAGCTCCACCTCGAGTCCTACCTGGCAGTTGAGCATGCATTCGTCTTGCTGCCATGGGAGCACATAACCGCATCCTGCCTGCCGATGCTTTGTCAACCGCACATTTGTGGTGATCTCAACGATCTGCACGACCTTCTCGAAGGCTAACCTGTTGTGCTTCTTCGTGTGGATGCCCTCGTGGACCACCCAGTTCCTCTCGGCTGGCGAGGCGTAGGACCACATGTGCATCACACGAAGAGCGCAACGCTGCAACCTTGGCGCGTCCGCCCCGAAGTGGAACCACCAAGACGCACACTCGGTTGTCTTAGCATCAGCGCTACACACGCGCCCAGGAGCACGCCATCCTCCCCCCCCCCCCCCCCCCCCCCCCCCCCCCCCCCCCCCCCCCCCCCCCCCCCCCCCCCCCCCCCCCCCCCCCCCCCAAGTCACCAAACCTACCTTGCTGCATGTGAAAGTCCTCGAATTGCTGAAAGGCAACGAGGTACTTCGCACCGTCCAACTTGAAACAGGTGTGCGGCATAATATACCTCTTGGATTGCATGACAAGCCAAGCAACGTACGCCTCCACCTTGCCTAAAGAACAACGAACGTGTGGCCTACGAGGGTTCAGTAAGAACCCTACGCAGTGAGCCGGCTCAAGCATGTGGTGTGTGCGGGCTTGCACACGCCTAATGATCCGGTCCGTGAAGGACTCGCACAACGAGGGCTTGCACACGCCTAATGATCCGGTCCGTGAAGGACTCGCACAACGAGGGGCTGCATGCGTCCTTCAAGGTGGACAAGATCCTGTACCCACTCGACCACGAGGGGCATGAACTGCCCTCCACGATCCATCCGCTTGAGCAACTGCATGATGGGCTCCATGACATCGGCGAAGGCAGCGACCCTTTGCCACTAAGGATCCCATCTGATCTGTTGTCGTACGCAACGCGCCATGTCACGCACGTCGGCGGACCATGGGATAAAAGCAAAAGTCGGCGAGTCCTCCCCTCGCATCATGCCCTGCAAAGTGTCTTGCAAAGACGTCAACCTTTCCATCATTGAGTAAATAGACGCAAACCGCGTCTCGCAGGAAAGAACAAGCCCTATGTTGGGGTTGCACCTCCTGAAAAAAGAAAGGGCGGGCTGGTGAGTTTTGAAAAACACCACCAGCACACGAGTGCGTGATCGTGTCTACAAACGCGTCGAAACTTGTCCCCATGTCTGACAACAATTTGTTACAGACATTGTCAAACATGGACGGAGCATGGGAGCCACTTAACCCGCCTCGGTGCAAGCGGCATGGTCGCCGAGGCCATCGCCCTTGCAGCCTTCACGTACACAGAAGCGGAGGTAGTGCATATCGTATTGACTTGCTGGGGCCCACCAAACTTGAACTCGTTCAAGATGGTCACCCATATCAGAAGGACGTGCCTCGCGCGGTGCCTTGTAGCCGTTTGTTGCCGTCCTTGCTCCCACTCCGCTGTCGCTGCTGCGTGCGAGAGGAAGCATTTCTCTCTATTTTGCGCACGAGAGGGAGCGCCTCTCTCTATCTATGTCCGCCTCTCTCGTCTCTCTCTCTTCTCTCTGTTGTGCGCGCGCGTTGCACGTGTTCTGTCACTTGTTTGTGGCCTTGAGACATATGGTCTCGCGCGGCAAATGAAGTGATGCGATGTGAAATGGCCAAATTTATAGCCGTTTCACGTTGGCCCCCAGCATCTTCCCCAATATCCCCGAAAAGGCCATGCACACGTCGGCCCCTACTGGAGCCTGTTTCTTTTTTTCTTTTTTTTTTAAAGTAAAAAAGATATCTGAGGGCATGAGGTGGTACCCAATAACCTTCTGTACCACCCCCATGCCCTCAGAACCCCCGTACCCCCCACCAACCGTGCGAATATCGAATTCACGGATCCCGTTTTTTCTCGTCTAACGGGTGGTTAAATGGGGATTCGACACGAATTCAACCCGCAGAACCCGCGTTGAATCGGATTTTGGACACATAGCATATTGCACTATGATGAGGATGGTTGCAGGATAGATCACATGCGCAATAGAGAAAGAGGGAGTGTCGAGAGGGGCGAGGCCGAAGAGTGTTCATGGAGGCTAGTGTGAAGGATGGTCCCAAGATGCTAGACCTGTGGGGCCACATAGTGGAAAGGGATGGGGCAAAGCTAGGTTGTGAGTGCACGGTAAGGAGATGGGCATTGGTATGAGGGGGGAGTAAGCAGTGTGACATTGTTCTAGTATGAGAGGCAGTTGTCCTTTTTAAATGTCGGCCGCTGAGTTAAGTCTGTGACTGACATAGACTGAAGAAATGTGTTGTATACTTTGTTGGGTCTGTGTTCTCGAGTTCATGACGGTGATCAGCATGCCTTTGCTGAAGGATCGAGTTTGTGTCTAACACGCTTCTTTTGCGTTCATGTTTGTGGACATGCAGGCCCTCCTGGTGCAAACCTTTTCATTTACCATATACCTCCAGAATTCGGTGACCATGACCTTAATACTGCCTTTTCCACTTTCGGAAACGTCATCAGTGCAAAGGTTTTCGTTGACAAGAACACTGGATTGAGCAAATGCTTTGGTAAGTAGAAATGCGTCCTTCCATACAGGGAAGGCATTTTGCATGGGAAAACTGTCCTTCAAAGGTGAAAAATTGAAACTTGATTTGTGTGGTGTTTGACTTTCCAACAGACTATCGTCTCCAATTTTGAGTCTAGATAGAGCAAGAATTATGGTACGTTGTATTTGGGTGAAGATGGTAGTTATTTGCAATCCTGTGGAGAAGTTGCCAAGTATGGTAGCCCTATCCTTCTGTGGAAATTTGGCCTGTGTTTTACGTGCAGCTCTCGCACAGCAAGTCTTTGATATGTAGCAACAGTAATGTGCGTGTGTATAATGACTCCAGAAAACTTAGCAAGTCTTCTGATATATAGCAACAGTAATGTTCGTGTGTATATTGACTCAAGAAAACTATGTTATGAAGTCTCGACTCTCAAGTCTCAAGTACAGTGTGTATATTGACTCAAGAAAACTATGTTATGAAGTCTCGACTCTCAAGTCTCAAGTACAGGGTACAAAGAGTGTCGCGGGCCACACTCAATGCAGCATGTTTGGTTATTTGTCCGTTATAGGCGATCACAGTGTTTGGTTATTTGTCCATTGTAAGAAAAGTGGCGTGATGTTGTAGTGCTGAGATAACTATCGACTATGGTAGAAAACAACCTTGTTGTTATCGTCTTTTTCAATGAATATTGTTACTCAGACGAGGGTAATACGTGCTGACCTCATTTCTTTTGCACCCATGTTTTTCCTTCTCTTCTGTAGGCAATGCATACATCACGTTATTAATTGACAAACCCACGGAGGTGTCATGGCATTTTCGGTCTTTTGCAGACACAAAGCTGATGGTTTTCCTATTATAATGAGGGTGCAGATTCTCCAGCGTGGTTCGACTGCGGAATGTTCACCTGAAGCAACAGAACATTGTCATTGTAAACTATGGAATGTGAAAGTCTGCCTTTGACTGACTTGGGTGATAGATTTTTAATTTTTAATTTATTTATTTTTTTCGTGGAAAACTGTTTTTTTTTTTTTTTTGGACGGAATTAACCGGATGAACCACTGCAGCAACTAAGAACAAGCATGTACACCTACCCAGAGAATTGAGTAAGAGCGGGTTATAGGTCATGGCATTTTGTTTTTGTTTCCCCTTTTATTGTCAGGATGGGTAATTTACGTGCTTTGCTGCCTGCCTTTGGATGTGGTAGCCATCTCTCCGGCTCCCCAAAGCTTAGCCTATGGCTATTCGTAAGGATGCTCAGTTGTTTTGCAAAAGTGTGGATTGTCTCGGTTCTGATGTGTTATTGCCAGCTCTGAACTGGAAGAAGAAAAGTATCAGAGACAAAAGTGTGGATTGTCTCAGCTCCCCAAGGCTTAGCCTATGGCTATAAGTAAACAAGTATGAGAACATTGAGAAGTGGCATGTTTCCAGTGTTGAATTGGAAGGTGAGTTGTGCAGTAGATCCTGACAAAGAACACGGACGGGCCATTGTCCACTGTCCTTTTGTGTGTGTGAATGGCATCAGGGTTTGTGAGTTATGATTCACCAGACGCTGCACAAGCTGCAATTGCAACGATGAACGGTTTCCAGATCGGAGGAAGAAGGCTAAAAGTGCAGCTGAAGAGAGACAAAAATCAGAACAAGCCCTACTGAGGTGGGGGTGAAGGTGGAGTAGGACAGCTAGGCGTGGCGTGGTCGCAGCGGTTGCAGTTATGGACACGGAATCAGGGTGGATCATGATGATGCGACACCTCTGGGGCTGATTGAATTTTTAGAGGGCATTCCTTGCTTTAATTTTGTGGTTAACTGTATTTCTGGTTTTGGATCATGTGATGTGTACATTGTGGATCTTGTCTAAACCCGGTACAGAAGAACTGTAGGGCGAGGTGGGAGAGGAGGCAAAACGGCGGCAAGATTCATTGCCCTGGTTTAGGGCTCATCTGTTTTCACGTCTTAGGTACTGGTGCCTGAAAACAGCGAGAAATGGAATCCCTGTTATGCTCTGGTGGTAGGTGGATTGCAGCACCTGTGGGAGAAAAGCGGTAGGTGGCAGTCGCATTGAAGAGTGGGGCTGGGAGTAAGGGAGGCAACCACATGGCCAACAAAAGGGTGTCGGCCACAGCATAGTGGAATGCAGCTTTGAAGGCAATCACCTAGCCACCATTCACTTAACCTTTTCCCTCCCCAACCTTGCCTCCATACCCTGCAGCGCTGCAGCATTTCTTCTTTTTCCTTGCTGCTTTCTGATGCTGCTCGGCATCCCTACCTACCTCTGAGCGGAAGGAATTTGTGAAAGGTGGTGATTTTATTGTGACCCCTGCACGGTCAGCAAGGGGATGTCGTGCCATGTGAATCCCTTTTTCAGGCTGTATCTTTGCCTTGGCATTGTCTGACTGGATGGATGTAGACATGGCTATTCTCTCTCCCCATTTTGTGGGTCATAGTGTTGGACCTAGGTGGTGTCATTCTGAGGCGTGATCATTTCAAGAATTGTGCGGCGTCGTTGGCATGTATGCACTCATCTTTGAAGATTTTCAAACCAGTTTTCTCTGCACTTGTGTGTGTGTGTGTGTGTGTGTGTGTGTGTGTGCGTGTGTGTGTGTGTGTGTGTGTGTGTGTGTGTGTGTGTGTGTGCGTGTTTCAATTTGTTTTTAGCATGTTATCTTTCTACTTGTCAAGTTGGTCTTGTGTTACTCAGTATTGGTCAAACTTCTATCTGGGGGGTGAGCTGGAATCACCCAAGTTTTCCTAATCTGAAGGGTACTGTTTTTTCTTGAATGGGGAAGCGGTGGCTTTCAGGGGGTTGAGTTTGTCGGAGTATACAAGTTTGATAGTGTGACCTGTTGTATGTTAAAGTGTGTTGTTTTTGTGAAACCAGTTTTTTCCAGGCCTCAAATCTTCTGGTGCAGTGAACGCATGAGGCTTTGTGGGGGCAGTGTGCATGTTGTGTGTGGAATTTGCATATTTGAATGCTTTAAAACCAGTTATTTTCTTTCTGTGTAGTTTGTGTGTGTGTGTGGAGGGGGGGGGGGGGGGGGGGGGGGGAGGGGAGAGAGAGAGAGAGACCTGTTGTTGTTTTGTCTGTGTGTTTGTGCATATGTCCTTGTTTGTGTTTGTGTGTGTCCGTGTGTGTGTGTGTTGTGGCTGGGAGTGTGAGTGATACTTCTAAAAACCAGTCAAGTGGGTGAGGTGTCACTCTTTGTTGAGCGAAGAGGGGAAGAAGATGATGGGGGTATGCAGGTTTTTGTAGTGTGAGTGTGTGAAGTTGTGCTGTCGATGTAAAACCAGTTTTTCCCGAATCCCAAATCTTTGGGCACGGGGAAGTTGTGCACGTGGCTTTCGTAAGGCAGTGTCCGTGTCGAAGTCCGACATGATCTCTGTGCACCTTGCTTGTGTGCATCTGTTTGTTATCTGTGGTATTGTGAGCATATGTCGGTGTCTCTGTGCTGTTTTAATAGTGTTTTGTGCCCGTTATGCTAACGTATGCAGGTTTCTATTACGGTGTGTGCTTTAGGAAAGCCTCCTGTGGAAAGAGGTGCTGATGACATTGGTTCATTTATGAAGCTGTCTGGTTTAGGTTTCCCTGTGCGTTTTTGAAGGCATGCATACTTGTCAAGCACCTGCGACTTTCTGTGAATGGTGTCGGACCAGGCTATCTTGTTTCTACTCCTTTCTGTTCTGCCTTTTTTTCCATTTTTCGTCTGCTTTGCTCTGTTGTCCTTTCGTGTATCTTTCTCTGGCCTCCCTGTACCTGCGTAAGTGGCTTCTTTGTAAAGGGTGCACCCCCCTTTTTGATAGCGCATGTTGCAGCAACTGTGCGGTCCTTCTGTGTTGTAGTTTCGTGTGTTTCGTTGTCGTCTGTCCCCTTGGCAGTGTCTTGGATTGGCATTGCTTGAAGAGTATATGTTGGGAAGTTCTGCCTAGGACGAGGTGCGTCTATTGGAACTGATTGCAGTCTGTATATGCAGGAACCATCAGTTGAGTGTTTTTGGGTGTGCATATGATACGCTGTTTCTGTGTGTTGAATTGTTAAACCACTGGTTGTTAGTGCTCTTCAGCTGTCATCACATGGAATTTGTCTCCATTACGTTGTACTTTCTGAACTGCTGAAGTGGTGTATTTTTCTCGTTATAGCGCTCTGTGCTAACTGCGTTGGCTCTGGGCACAAGCAATCAGTGAGGTAGATTCTATTGACCATAAACATGAGCCAACTGGTGTTTGTGCTGCCAGTCTGTACGTCACTCGCTTTTCTACTGTTGCTATTTCAGCATTTGGCTGGGTCCTTGGAGTGTGCTGTGGATCGGACTGTGCATGGTTGGAAGCTACTGTCTGTGACCTGAAATGACGTGACGTGAGGCTCCCAGTGAATGGAACGGGGGTGCATTGGAAGTGTTGCCATGCGCCATGCCATGCATCGGAGGCGGGGTGCTTGCATGGAAGGTGTATGTGCGATTCAATTGCCTGGTAAATGTCTTATCTTCATGTTAGTCACAAACGAACTTTGTAACCCCCACCCACTCCCCCAACCCTCTCTATGTGATTGTTCTCTTCATAAATCTCTCTCTTGTTTTGCCATCTTTTCCACGTATGGGGGGATGGAGGGGGGTGGGAGGGCGGCCCACTCTGGTGCACTTGTCTGCTGGTGATGGCTTGCTTTCGTGGCTAATTTGCGTTCGGTCAAGAGGTGTATTCTCTTGTATTCCATATGCGGGCTATGGTTTGAGTTTCAAGCAATGTCTTAGCCTTTTACAGGGGGTGGGGGGGCGCACACTGGCACACTAGTCTGCTGGTGATGATGGGTTGCGTTCCTGGCTAATTTGCTTTCTGTCAAGTGGTTGTATTCCTTTGTTTTTCGTGCGCTGGCTATGGTTTGAGTTTCAAGCAATGTATTAGCCTTTTACAATGTTCAAACTTCAAAGCATTTAGCAGTTCTTGTTGCATGTGCTTTTCATAGGGTATCGGCTGACTTGCTGCTTTGATTTGCATTGTATTCTTCCGGATATGGTGCTGCCCAGGCCTGGCCCAACTCTTTGTGACAAGAGTGTTTTCTCCTAGGCTATTCTCCATTCTAAACTCGACCCTGTCCGATTGACTTTTCCCTGATTCTGTTTTTCCAACCTTTCACGGATGCCTTCGATCAACTGGCTGATATTGCGGCTTGTAGCTAAGGTATAATGGGATGGGGCGCAGAGCTTGATGAAGTCACTAATAGTGGATGTCTGTGGCAATGTAGCTTATTGATCTCCGGACATGGACAGGAGCCATTGCAACATAGCGTGCATGCACCGCATGAAGCCATAGATCACATCTGTCTTCTCTGGCTAATAACTGGTTATGTCTGTTCATGTCTGTTGTCTGTCAGGTTTGTCGTCAGACAAGTGCTTGCCGACTTGGACTTGTTATACCCCTTGTACGACCAGTCTGTACAACTGGTCGATATGCACCGCATGAAGCCATGCTCACAGCCATTTCCTCGGTCTAACAGCTGGTTTGGTCGTTGGTCGTCAGATGGGTACTTGCCCAATTGTACTTGGCCTTGCCTTTCTATGCCGCCCCGTGGAACTGGTCGATGGTTTGTAATCTAATGATTCTGGATTCATTGACGGCAGGGTTGCCCATCGCATAACCCAGCCACACACTCTTGGCCTTGTCGAAAGTCAAGTTGTCTCTATCTTGACATGTCAGTAGTCCGCAACATATCGATCAATGCCCCAGCGTACGTTAAACTCCGCTATAGTCCGAAGGATGTCAGTATTGATTGAGGCAGTATTGATTGAGGTATGCCCACCCTATTATTGGCATCCTTCCCTTCATTTATGCCCCGTTTCTGTGTTCTTATGTCTTTTCACATCACAACACACAACACATGCCACACACTGCTGGTCTGTCATATCCTGTACATTCACCATTGAGGTTTATGTCTGTCTTGGCATATCAGTGGTCTATGATCAAGTGTACATAATACAGTCTGAAGAATGTCAGTATCGGTACAGGTATGCCCATCGGGATATTGGCATCCGCCTGTCCATTTATTCCCAGCCTCCCAGAATAGAAGTTTGGTGGTCATGGGTTCGTGTGCTCTGTTCTCGCCCAGGGGTAACGGCTGCTGAAATCGTGCAATCTTGGTTTTAAAAAAGGGCAACGACCTTGAGATATCATTATAGAACTGGCCGGCCCTAGGTAATTCAGAATTTTCATATTTCACTCATCTGCTTCCAGTGGAGTTCGAGCTCGAGTCTGTATTTTAACAGATCAGGGGTGTACCAACTGAACTAGGCCAGTTGGTTCTCAATTCCTATTGAGCAGTTGCAATGTTTCCTGTTGTCTCATCTTCGGGAGATAACACAGCAATTTGAGCTCTTGATTGGCATTATCACATCTGCAGGGGCCTAGTTCTCATTGAGAGTGGTGCTTTGTTTGACAAGGTCTTCTCCTCGGTCTAAAAGTTCGTGAGGTTGAGTTCAAGCTTGAGGCGTCCATCCTTTTCTCAATTTCTTGTACCGGAGTGCTGTCTGCATAGCAGCAGACAATGAACCTGAACTTTTTCGTAGATCACACCTTCTTTTTTATTTTGCTTCCTCCGATCCTTTTCGAAAGGTTTGAGATGATGTACCCAAGCTTTCCCTAGCTGTCCGGGGGAGGAAGAAAAAGGGGGTGGTGACGAGTCAGACACCTAGAGGAAGAGGCATAGAGGTACAAGGATACCATGTGGTGGGATCTTTGAGAACTAGACAAGGAGGAAGAAAGAGAAGAAAGGAGAAAGAAAATGAGGAGGAGCAGGCTGTGGTGATGAGTCAGACACCCAGAGGAAGAGGCATATAGGGAAGTATGCCATGTGGTGGCATCTTTGAGATGTCGTCGAGCAGGAGGAAGAAAGGAGAAGAAGGAAGAGGAGGAGAAGAACTAGGGCGTGGTGATGAGGCAGACACCCCAAGGCGTGTGAACGTAGGTTCTATGTATGCCATGTGGTGGCATCTTGAAGATGTAGCCAAGGAGGACAAGAGAAGGTGAAGGACATCATGTGAAGTTTCAATGAGATAGGGAGAGCATGGAGGATGAGCAGCAGAAGAAGGATGTGGCTGTGGGGCTGATCGGGGATGTTATCCTCTGGAGGGCATCATGGCTCATGGCAGGCATCCCTTATCTTTTTTTTTTCTACACCACACTACACAGGTCCCACCTGTTCTGGAGAGCGTAAGTCTGGTTGCTTATCACCTGCAAGCGTAGAACAAGTCTGCAAATGGGGACCCTCATGACGGGCATCCCTTCGGCCCTGGCTTTATATCCATTCTGGGGAGCATCAGTCTGTTCCCTATTCCACCGGCAACTTAAGATTACAGCAAGAATACCTTCACGCTTCCTTCCGTTTGGTCGAAGGACCCACGAACAGCGTTGATTGCTCCAGAAATCTGGAGGATTGACTGTCAGCTTGCCATCCCTCCTCTTCCTTTCCTCTCAGGTTTTGTTTACCCCAAATCTGCGAGATTTAATGTGAAACCAAGAAAGGATTAAGAGATGGGGAAGCCACAATCCTTGGAACAACTTGGGCCGATTCGGGTGACGTCGTGTTGTTACTCCAGGCGGGACGAGGGAGGGAGAATTTTATTCGGATGGTCATACGTTTTGTACTATTTGTTGTCAGTTGACGTGCTGTGGTCATCCTACGTTCTGTAGCTATGGCGTTGAGTAGTCTGATGATGATGTTTCTCTTTT